AAACCGGAAAAATATTGTCTGGGGTGTGCTGCTTAATGTTAAGGCGTTCGTCTCTGGTAAAACTTATAGAAGAAGAATGACAAAACACAGAACAAACAAACCAAAACAATAGAAGGATCGCAGAGCTCAGCGTCCTGGCTGCCATTTGCGGCGCCATCTTGTTAGCTTGATCTAAATTTCTTTGTAAGTTTGTGCCTCAGTCATATTTAAAGGGTAATTCCAATAACCGTTTATTTTTTTAAAAATGTAATACCGCAACTGTTGCGTTTTCGCTAGACTTAAAAAGTACACGATTGTTTTGACAGATCTGAGATTTAAAAATGGCGCTACCGGAAATGCTTCAGGACCAGACATGCGCAGTAGCGTTCCAATGCCTTTGTTATTGTTTACGTCTTTGAAATGGTCTATATATATATATATACACTGTAAAATCTAATTAGTTGGGCATACTTAAAAAAAGCATGCAAATGGATTGCCTTGAAAAAACTAAGTAAAGTGAAATAGGAATAGTATGTTGTACTGACAAATGCTTAGTTTACTTACACGAGAGTTCTAGTAACTAAAAAAGAACTGTAGGGGTAAGGGGTAAGCATACTGCAAGCTAGCCAAACACTCAGCGCATCAGGGAGGCAGAGGAAAGGCCTAATTCACCTGATGCTGCTGGATCCAGGCGCTCTGGAGAAACAGAGAACTCAAACTTCTCAAGTGAGAGGAGAACTCTGAATACAGAGGAATAACGTTGCTCATTCCAGGTAACCCTTTGATAAAAGGGGAGCATTGCTCAATACAACCACGAGGACAGCCCATGGAGTGAGGAATCCAACTCCTCAGAGAGGATTAACGCTCGAAAGAAACATCATACTTACAATAACCCTCTATGGTGAGGGGGGGTGATGCTTCAAGAGGATATCCTGGTGATCGGGAAAACCCCTCAGGGCGACCCAGATACGGTAGACCAGTCAGGGTAGCATGAAAGCGTAACCCCAGCCCGGACGTCCAGG